TGTGTGTGTGTGTGTGTGTGTGTGTGTGTGTGTGTGTGTGTGTGTGTGTGTGTGTGTGTGTGTGTGTGTACATATATAAGTATAAATGTGGATTTGACAGCCAGCGATGATGCCAGGCACGGAGAGGAGAGAGGCGAGGCGAAGCTCCCTCTCGTACGATGCCGCTGTCACATTGGATCAGTCAGGGCGGTGCAGGCAGCCAGGCAGCGGCACACAGCCGTGGAAATGACACTGCACTTCTGCTCTGGGAGAGACGAGCGGAGCGAGCGAGGAGAGATGGGATACAGAGAGAAGCGTTATTAGCTCCAGCTTTGTTTTGACGTTACGTTGTGGCGTCTCATTTGTCTGCAGATGTTATCTATGACATCGTGCTGCAGAAAAGGCCTAAAAACTTGGTTTCCCACCGAACTTCCTACTGTGAGCGATGGACGCGTAATATTCTGCCACAGTTTGATAAGTTTTGGTTATTTGACGTGATAAATGAGGGACGAGGCTCAGCTGGAAGAATTTCTGTTTCTGTTTCTGGAAGTTATTTCTGTGGACCAGTCAGAAAAGTAACTTAGTACCTTAAACCTACTCAAATGCTGTACTTGAGTAACATTTTTGGAGGTATTTAAATATTTTAATTCAATGTAACTTTATATTTCTACGCCAACCTCCAAAAATAAAAAAGTTGTTTACAGAAGAGTTATAATAAAATATAATACAATAGATTACAATTCATTAACAATACATTTTGTTGTTGTTGCAAAGGGTCCAATGATATTTAGTACCAACTCTGTGACTGTGCACAAAGATGGATGACATGGCAGCTCCCTAAAACTGAAGCCAAAGCATCTCAATCGCCCCCTGGTGGCTGGCAGTGGTACAGGTCATATACCACACCACATCCATGTTAACGAATGGGACTCAAATATGTTTCAGACATTTTTGATATAGTTCTTATTGTGATGGAAGGAGAACTGTAGATGTCTCATGCAGCGTCCCAGCTTTTCTCCTTCACCTCCCCACCTCGCATCAACCTCTATGCCACATGTAGGTGTTTGCATCTTACTGGTTAGTTAAACCTAAATCATGTTGTGTCCTTACGTCTTGCATATGCAACTTGTGAGGACGGTCGCACTTATCTAACTGATGTTTGTTAAAATAAACAGAGAAATTGAGAAATACAATAACATGAAAATGTATTTTTGTGATAAATAGCTTATTAGGTAAGTTTAAATGAGTTTACATATGGACATTGGAATGCATTGGCAGGCGCACTGTACCTACTGGTGTGTGTCTGTGTGTGTTGTGTATACAGCAGAGTGTGTGTGTGTGAACAGGCCCAGTGTCGGTGTTTGTTGTGTAATCACGCCTGATCCCTGTCCTCACTCCGTTTACGGATAAGCAGCACCCGCCGCTCGCCGCTCTGATCACCTGCTCAGGTCGCTGTCAGGTTAATGGGTTTGACTGTGGGCGCTTACAGCAGGAGAGTGTGTGTTAAATACTGTCCTGTTGTGTTGTTTTAAAGTGCAGCAGCAACACAACCTGGATCCTCTGATATGATCACGGCTGCTGTTGCCAGATGTAACTGAGACATTTCAGGTTAAGTGGGCAGCCTCAGGCAAGGGCATGACTGAATACAGGAGGACAGTGGAGCGCTTTCTTCTCTCATTACTGCCACGGTCCGGAGTAACAACCTCATGTGCTGCATCTGTTGTGTCAGGTCGTGTGTGTGTGTGCGTGCGTGAATGTGTGTGCGTGTGCTCCACTCAATTCAAAAAACACTGTTTTTTTCCAAGAATACAACAGATTCTTATCAAATGTGGTTGATCTACATTCAGTTTCAGTTTGAAGTATGTTGATATTTAATGTGGAACAAAGCGTTTCTTTTCTTTTTCTCAGGCAGCGTGCTAATTAAACTTAAACACAAGGGACGAGGTCTATTTAAAGGCGACAGCAACACTGCTGCTAATTGCTCTTTAAGGAGGAAGCCTTCACAGGACTCTGGTTTTTATCATTAGCTTCACCAAGGAGGTTTTTCGTCTGTGTTAGTGATAGTGATAGATTGCAGGAGTAGACAAAAATGATGTTGCGATATTGGGTGTTTTTTTGACATTTTCACTGATTACCCAGGATGCCTTCATGAACAAAATCAGGGTTATTCAGGGGACCGATCCAAATAAAAATCTAGATCTAGTGAATTCTAATGTCTTTTCATTAAGGGACTGTTGGACCTTGGACCTTCTAGTTTGGGATATAAATAGAGTTAGTGAAGAAACAGTTTTGTGTTTGTTTACGTTAAACGGGTAACACGTGTCTCTCTCTGGTTACCGCTGTTGTTAAAATGACATCTGACGATCAGATCAGATCTCAGCAGACGCAGTGAGTGGCAGCTCTGAACACACAAATCAGATTTTTCTGACATTGCCTTTCAGATATTCAGACGCATGTATGAATTAGGTCAGGCCTGTGTGTGTGTGTGTGTGTGTGTGTGTGTGTGTGTGTGTGTGTGTGTGTGTGTGTGTGTGTGTGTGTGTGTGTAATCTTCATATTTGTGTGAAACGCGCTCCAGTATCAGTCCTCTTTTATTTATTTGCTCTAAATTAGAAACAGCTACATTTATTATAATGTTATAATGATGATTGATTCCTTTATAGATATATTTTGATTAGATGATTGATTGTTCGGTCTATTTGAGTCAGAGAATAATGAAAATCTGTCAAGCTGGCGTATATAAATTGCTTGTTTTGTCGGATTAATATTCAAAAATGTTGTCATGTAATTTTGGGGATTTGTGGGATTTCGCTGTTTTCTTGTTAATGATAATTTAATCTCTATACATTTTGATGGTCTGAAGAAAAACACCCAAGACTTTGAACTCTAGAAAACTGCGATGGCCAAGGATATTATTTTTTCATTTGCCTTTATTTGTTTATACGATATCAACATTATGTAAAAACCACCAAACCATGAAACTTTGTGGAGAGGTGGTGCAGGACCAGAGAAAGAACCTTTTGAATTTTGGTTCAGATACGGATCAGGCAGCAGATGCAGAATTCTTTCTTCCCTTTCTTTAACATGGCGAGATGTGTTTCAAGATTTTCATTGATTTCTTGGAGAATAATTTATGAATCTTGAGGAAAACATATTGAGCGTGTGTATAGAATGTGTACACCTTGCTGCAGATCCAAATTGAAATCTAGATCTAGTAAATTTAAATGTGTTGGGCCTTGGTGTGTGCTCCCTGAGTGATATTCTACTTTGTAAATGAATGGATAATGAAATGAAACATTAGATTCAGCTCTTCTTTTGAATTTTCTCTGGTGCTAACCCTGGTTCTTCTGTCTGTCCAGGCTCACCCAGCAGTACGTCTACCCCCACCAGGCGTTCCTCCAGCCCAGCCTGGTGCTTCAGTCCCAGCTCAGCCCCACAGCAGCGGCCCTCTCCTCCCCTTACCTGGACTACAGCTCCGCCTACAGCCACTACACCCCCACAGGACTGGAGCAGTACCCTTACACCCCCTCGCCATCACCCTCTGGTGGCTACCTCAGCTATAGCTTCTCCCCTGGCACGCCGGCGCCCTCCCTCGCAGCGTCCCTGACTCCTCCGGCTGCCGTCCCTCCTCCACTGGCCGCACTCACCGCCATGTCTGCTGCCCCGCAGGCCTTCCTTCACTACCCCCTGCACCAGCCCGACCGCATGCAGTGAGCAGCCCTGAGAAACGATGATCGGTGGTGAAGGATGGAGTGACGATTCAAAAACAGTCTGACTGTTGAGCTGTGTCGTCATCGGGATGAGACTAAATCACCAGGAAGAGAGTGTGATGTAATCAAAGGGCTTTTAGAAAACACTCGCATTCCTGTTTCTTTTTTATATAATATCGTTGAAATAAATGTTTTATTGTTTCATCAGCATATGATCTGAATGTTTTTTACTAAATGGCCGAAGTCAGGGACTTGGGTGAGATGACTGGTAATCTCCTGGACGTGTCTCTCACACCGTTGACCCTCAGTGTGGAGGTCGGAGGCTACTGGAGAGTACACGGGTAAAGACAATGAGAAATAAGTCTGCTTGACATGATGCTGCGGCGGCAGTTTCTCCGTACGCTACTGAGCCCAACGCTGGATATCAGCCAAGCTGGGAGCCGCCTCCTCTCTCAGAAACAGGTCGATTACCTGCTCATCAAGGTTACATGTCTGTCTTTGGCCTTAGAGATCTCTCTCCCTCCATACCGACTTCAATCTGTCATTTTTATTAGTGTCTCATCTCAAATGAACAAAATGGTTGTTGTTCTCCCTTTTGTTCCTCTTATCCACCACTGCAAAGTTATTACACACAGTTTAACAGAATATGCAATTATGATGATGAAGGATAAGCATGAATAAAGTAGGCAGCACTGGTCGTTGTATTGTTTTTATATTGCTACTGTTGGAAGTACTCAGAGAAAGACTTTGTTAACACTGAAAACATAATTGTCGTCAGATGGCGTTGGCTCGTTTGTTAGGGTATTTTTCATCATTTATGATATTTAAATTACATAGCCGTCGATACATATCAAGTACATTTGTTTTGATGTAGGTGTCGAGAAGTAAATGTTGTGGGTGAGTGTGTGTGAGTGTATTTTGTGTCTGTGTGTGTGACAGAGAAATAGAGTGATGATGCAGTGAACACCAGTGTGAGGACCAAGCTTCTTCTCCAGCTCATTGTACTGGTCAGAGTTGTTTTTTATTTCCCTGCAGCAGAATAAAGACAGATGTTTCAGCAATGACACTGGAGTCTCTCGGTGCTGGGGCACCACATTAGTGGTCATGAACCAAGCCATACATCAATTATGCAAAATAAAATGATTATTTCTGAAAGAAAGTACATGGCATTGCTCTCTGAGTGTTGAGTGACAGTCATTGTGGTAAATATCCCACTGGAATTAATAAAGCGTTATCAGCTGTACCTAAACAGCTGCTGCATGATTCCACCAGGAGCCTGATGAGTCGCACGTGAGTCATGTAAGACATTTACATGTGTCAATGGACTGGTACAAGAAGTTCATCATTTTGGGAAATGGGCTTTTTCACTTTCAAGAGTTAATAACATCAGTTATAACCAGCAATGAGCTTTAGATGGATTTTTATCACACATCATTCAAACATCACCAAGGGTAATTTACAGTTTAGTATCTTGCCCAAGGACACTTCAGAATGCAGACTGGAGATGCTGGGGATCAAACCCCCAACCTTTTTTTTTTTTTGTGCTCGACTATCTTTTGAACCACAGGCAACCCTGAGCTAAACATATCTACCTGCCTAGCTGAACTATTTGTTTTTTAATTCTCACATATAGGCGCCTGACTGACTGACGGGAATTTTCAATATTTTATAATTGTCACCAAATCTCATTCAAAACTGACCTCACCTGCTCCTGAAGTCCAATCATTCCCCCTGAAGACGTAAATCATCAATGTTTGTCAGATCAATAACGTCCCATACAGCAGGGAACTGTAGTTTTTATGAGTACTTTCTCAAACAGGAGTACATATTGTATTTACACATGTTGTTATTTGCGGCATCAGGACAGTGTTTGTGGGATCTTCTCAAAATAAACTACAATGCCCAGGTTCATCATAATGAAGGGACGTGTCATGACGTGTTTCATTGAGTAGATTTTGAAGAAAGAGTTAAAATCTGGATCTGGCAACACAGAAAGAAAAATTTCTGTCAGATAAATTTTTTGTTGGTTTTGGTCTTTTCATGGGATTTGGTGACTTAAACTAAAATGCACCTGTAAGTGTTTGGTTTGGACTGGAGGAGGAGTCACACTGTGGTTTATCAGCTGTGACGCACACATGAACAGAAGACAGAGGGAGATAAATGTGTGTGTCAGTTTTATGTTCCTTATCAAACACCAGAAATAGTCTAGAGTGGGATGTGGTCGACCCAAACAACCCCTCCCTGAACTACACCCTCCTACGCACCTCAGTATGAAGTAATCTATTACATTAGAAGCATTATATTTATTACAGTGCATTTGCTGCTGTGCACGGTACTGAATGTGTATTTCATTTTCATGCAGAAATCACTGGAGATTCCTCGGTTTATTTTTAAATCTAGATGTGGGTTTGTCATGTGCTTTTTTTGCCACCTTCTGGCCAAAATCATTTATTGCAGCTCGAACTTTCCTCCACCAAGTGCAGAAAAATGACCCAAACCTTGTATCAACTTTTTTTCAATGTTTATTAATGTTGAATTTTTATTGAAACGCCTTGTGCTCCCAGTAAGGATCAAATAAGACTCAATGTAAAAGCTTGCACAGCTGATCTGCAGTGAACAGACCCACTATCAAAGCCTATATAGGATACAACATTTCCTTCAAATTGCGCTGGTTCAGAACAAAAAAGCAGATGGTTTGTGTAAAAATTAATCATAGCAAATACCACAGTGATGGGAGGAGAAATGATGGTGTCTTAAAAAGTGTTGACAAATGAACACTGGGACGAGACAGAGGACGGGACAGGAGAGCGGTAATGAAAATAAAACGAAATGAAAAGTTCTGTATCTGCAATCTACACATATACACACTCACTTGCAAACACACTCGTACATACGGGCATGCACGCACACATGCACGCGCTCACTCTCACACACACACTCACACACATACTGCAGAGGTATCCACACACACAAACACAAACCCACAGATAAAATGTAGTGATTGAAAATAGTGAAACCCTGGTAAAATCTAATGGTATCATACATCCACGTCTTGTGTCTGAAGTGCAGAAAACAAAATGAACCTAAGAAACTAAACTGGAGATAAATTCAGGTGAATAATGAAAAGCATGACCATCTTCACTGGTCTAACCCAACTTGAAACGACCACAAACCCAGAGTGTTGCCCTCTTTACCCACACCCCAATCCCCACCCCTATGCTCCACCCTTACCTCGCCCCCATGCCCTCTGACCCTTGTACCCACATCCCCGCCTCGGTCTCCCCCTCTTTCCAACACCCGCATCCCAAAACCCCTCTCTCCTCGATTTGAGGCTTTTCCACGCTCCGTTGTTGCATCACAGCTGAAGGCCTGGCCGGGTGGAGGAGGCAGGCGAGCGGACGGTGGGGGAGAGACGAGGTAGCTGCTGGTTCTGGTCACCACTTATCATCATGGCACAGTGTCCAGCTCAGAATACAAAGTGAGGACTCAGGGGATTAGAGGAGTCTTGTTGTGTACTGAGGTTGAAGGATGCAGACCTGTGTGTGTGTGTGTGTGTGTGTGTGTGAATGTGTGTGTGTGTGTGTTTCTACACTGGGAGAATTGTGTTAGTCTAGATGTGAGTATTTCGGGTTAGTCTCGTTCGATGGTGTGTGAAGGCTGGTGGTGGTGAAGGGGGCAGTGGAGGTGGGGTTGGTGCAGCTCAGGGCCTTGTCCCTCATCATAATTGGAGAAGGGGGGGCAGGAGCATGTTTATAGGGCTTGCGTCTTGAGCTCGATGGGCTCGCCACGGGTGTCCTGCTGGGTCTCGTTCTCGGGGGGCCGACTGCCCTTCAGTGTGGCCAGGCGCTCGGACAGACCCCTCATGCGTGGGAACAGCATGAAATCGTACAGGAGGGCGCCCATTGCACCTCCTATCATAGGCCCGACCCAGTACACCTGTCGGCAACAAACATCGACATCATTATTTATGAGGAAATCAAGTGAAAGCTGAGGTGGGAGATGATCTCTTCAGGTTCTTACCCAGTGGTTGACGAAGTTCCTGAAGAGCACAGCAGGAGCAAAGGAGCGAGCAGGGTTCATTCCAGCCCCGGTGTAGTACATCTGAAACACATTGCACTTGTTACTGTATTGTGTTGTATCTGCACTTATCTGCACGTGTATCTGCATGGATGTCATGTTTGTCAATGTTCTGTCGGTGTTGTCTCACCCCCATGAGATGTCCGATGGTGACGGAGAAGCCAATGGAGAGGGCGGCAGATCCCAGACGTCCGTTTCTCCTCTCATCGGTCACGGCGAAGATGCACACCACGAGCTGCATGGTGAGGAAAACCTCCACAGTGGTGGCCATTCCCAGGCTGATGCCAGGCTGCAGCTGGAGATGGATAAAAAATACATGCATCAGTCATAGAAAGTATAAATATAGTGATAAGTACAATTTGGTTTTTTTTAAATAAATGTTGCATCCTCCACAAAACATTTACTTTTGATCTGAAACATTCCTTACCGTGTTCAATGCCATGTTGCCTCTCATGTTACCGGGTGTGACCCCATACAGCACAGCAGCCCCAGCTACAGCGCCCAGGCACTGGGCGACGATGTAGAAAATGGCACGGAAAAGAGACATCTGTGAGCCGACAAGGTAGGCGAAGGTGACGGCAGGGTTGATGTGGCCGCCGCTGATGTGGCCAATACACTGGATGAGGGTGGCAGCTGCCAGCCCAAAGCAGAGGGCCACATGGAGGACATGATGAGGCCCGGTGGTCCAGCGCAGGGCAGCACCCAAGCCGAAAAATACGAAAAACATGGTCCCAAAGAACTCTGCAAAGACGGCCCGCCAAAAATTCATGGACCGGAACTCCCACATGGTGACTGTTCACTTGAGGCTCTCCACCAGATGATGTGAAATAAAAAATAAATCAGGATTAGCCTAGAAAAGGTCAATGTACCTTTTCAGTCCCAAAACAAAAAAAGGGATCTCCCTCTCAGTTCGAAGACAAAAACAGGATTTCAGAACGTCAACAGACGAATCCACTCAACAGCCATGAACTGTTAAAGTCAACTCAGCTGCGATCGCTTGCCACCTCTGTCCACCTGTCGCAAAGACATAGGTGTGAGTTGATGTGGAAGTGGGTGGAGATCTCAGGTGTGATGAGTTGTCAAGAGGAGGTGGGCATCAATGCTAAAGGGGTATTTCTAAAGCAGAGACGGGGATAGACAGAGTGTCCGGTGGACCTTTTAGTCTCTCTGACGGAGGGGAGAGGGCCAGACAGGGGCTTTATAATACCCCCCAGGGGCCCCAGGTGACGCCATAATCCCCCTGCAGGGCCAAGGGCGGGGGGGTAGCGGTGTGGGACATCCTAAATTAAACAAACTTAACCCTTCTGTCTCCCCCCTGTCACAAGCAGAGGCCAAAAGAGGAGATGTCCAAGAAAGACATTTGATGTAAGAGAAAGAAAGAGACGACAGGATTGTGCCTTATATTCAAGAGAGGAACAACCACAGTGAAGAGCAGCTGGAGCTGAGAGGACAAACCCTTCTTTGGGGCATATGTCATCTGTTGACATATCATAACTGTCATAATCAAGGGGACACAAATGCTCATGGACAAGGACAGAAAACTTTCACAAAGACCTGCAGACACACACACACACACACACACACACACACACACACACACACACACATACACATATAC